TATTTTTCTTGTTGCTATACCAAATGGGATTTTTCCCCTGATTTCTGTTTCTGATATTTCATTGCTGGTGTACAAAAATGCCTTTGATTTATGAATATTGACTTTGTATCCCACTGTTTTGCCAAATTTACTTATTAGGTTGAATAGTTTTTTGGTGGAGTCTATAGGATTTTCTATGTATACTATCATGTTACCTGCACACAATGACAGTTTTGATTCCTCCTTTCCAATTTGGATGCCTTTTATTTTTTTCTTATCTGATTCTTGTAGCTAGGACTTCCAATACTGTGTCTAATAGAAGTGGTGAAAACAGACATCCTTGTCTTATTCCTGATCTTACTGGGAAAGCTTTTAGTTTTTGCCCATTGAGTATGATGTTGGCTGTAGGTCTCTCATATATGGCCTTTATGATGTTGATACCTTGGACAAGGGTTTGATCTCCAAAATATATAAAGAACTTACAGAACTCCACTCCAGGAAGGCAAACAATCCAAATAAAAAATGGGCAAAGGACCTGAACAGACACTTCTCCAAAGACATACAGAGGGCCCAGAGATATATGAAAGAATGCTCAGCATCACTCACCATCAAGGAGATGCAAATCAAAATCACAATGAGATACCACTTCACAGAAGTCAGAATGGTGATCATAAACAAATCAACAAACAAGTGTTGGAGAGGTTGTGGAGAAAAGGGAACACTAGTGCACTGTTAGTGGGAATGCAGACTGGTATAGCCACTGTGGAAAACAGTATGGAATTTCCTCAGAAAACAAAAAAATGGAACTGCCTTTTGACAGCAGTTAATGGAATTTCTGGGGACTATCTCCTAAGAATCCTGAAACACCAATCCAGAAGAACCTATGCATCCCATTGTTCACAGCAGCACAATTGAAAATAGCCAAATGCTCAAAGTAACCTAAGTGCCCACCAGTAAATGAATGGATCAAAAAACTATGGTGTATTTACACAATGCAATACTACTCAACAGAAAGAAAAAAGGAGCTCCTACCCTTTGCAACAGCATGGATGGATCTGGAGAACATTATGCTAAGTGAAGTAAGCCAGGTGGTGAAAGACAAATACCATATGATCTCACCTATAAGTGGAACTTGATCAACAAAACAAAGAAGCAAGCACAATATAACCAGAGACATTGAAATTAAGAACAAATTGACAGTAACCAGAGGCAAGGTGGAAGGGGATAATGGGCAGAAAAGGGGGAAGGATTGTGAGGACTTTATATAAAGAACACATGGACAAAACCAATGGGGGGTAGGGTCAAGGTTGGGAAGTGAGGATAACTGGGGTTGTGGGGAGTAGTGGGGGGAAAGTGGAGATAATTGTATGTGAACAAGAATTTTTAAAAAGTAGAAAAATAAGGAGGGAGCAAGAAACGTCCCAAGCTAACACAGCTAGAGAATGGAAGAAGCTGCATTTGAACACAGGCAGATTGACTACAAGGTCACAACCCTTAACCAGGGGGTCTTATTCCTCCCACATACTCTACTCAGACTCCCCTCTGGTTCTTTACTCTTATAGGTCCCAACCTTTACTTTACTTACCCTCCAATGAACTTAAAGCACAATAACACTTATTATGTATTGGCCCCTTGCCATGTGCCAGGCATTTCTTGTTTAAATCATGTATTTGACACTTCATCCTATAGCAACTTGCCTGAATAAGCAACAAGTGGCTTTAAATCCTGGCTTACCTGCCTTGGATGGGTGTTTCATTTGGTTGGAGCATTGTTCCATAAATGAAAAGGTTTGGGGTTTGATCCCAAGATAGGGCATGTGCCTTTATTTTGGGTTCGGTTTCTGATTGGGGAGCCTATTGGAGACAACCAGTCTCTCTCTGTGTGTGTCTCTCTCTCCCTCCCCCTCTCTCTTCTCTCTTTCTTCTTTCTCTAAAGTCAATAAAAATATCCTCAGGAGAGGGTTAAAAAATAAAATAAATAAATTCTGGCTTGTACCTTTAGTAGCCATGAGGTCTTCAGTAAATTACTTAGTTTGTCTGAATTTCAGATTCTTTATCTGAGCCAACAGTTCTCAAAGTGTGGTCCCAGAAGCATCACCTGGGTAGCTTTTTAGAAATACACAGTTTGAGCCCCATTGCACACCTACTGAATCACACTTGCTGGGGGCAAGATCTACCTATTTCTCCATTTTAATGAGCCTTTCAGGTATTTTTAATGTACACTCAAGTTTTAGAACCACCACCTCAGCTATAATAATAATACCTACCTGACAGAGTTTGGGGGCCAATAGAACATAATATCTGTAACTTAGCTGTGGCATGTAGATTGTTTTATAAATGGTAACTTATTATTACTGCTACTTTGTGTGGGTTAGTCTTTCTTGCTCAAGCTCTGGGTGGGCAGGCATCATGCTTCCTGGTGCTCTTTATTATTTCCCTGCTCATCTAGAAAAAGGTAGTACATACACTAAGTTTTGAACAAAGCCTTGTTACTTCACTGACTGGTTGGTAAGAGAACCATTTTTGGAGAAATACTGTAGGGCAGTACAGCAGGTCCTTGAATAAGATCACTTTGTTAAATGGTACCTTTTGAAAACATTGATGAATAAAAAAATGATTCCCAGCCAGGACCACTGTCTTTGTGTAGTTCACATGTTCTTCTGCATAGATTTCTTCCCACATCCCAAAGATATGCATGTGAAGTGAATTGGCATGTCTACATTAACCCAGTCTGAGTGAGTGAGTGAGTGTGTGTGTGTGTGTGTGTGTGTGTGAGTGTGTCCTGAGATGGAAAGGCATCCTGTCCAGGGTTGCATCCAACCTCGTTTTCTGAGTTTCTAGGATTGACTCTGGCCATCTGCAACCCTGAACTGAAATAGGTGGGTTAGAAAAGAATTAATTTTTTATTTATCTTTATTTCAATGTTTAATATTAGAAGTGTTTTGGGTCTTCATTTAGAAATTTGGTCTGGTTTTTGTGCCCAGAATATATTCTGTAGGAACTTAATTCTTGTTTATATCAGTCAGCCTATGGTAAAATTGATTCCATTGCATGGTTTCACTTAAAATTGCAACCTATTGATGATGTTAAGTGAGAACTTACTGTGGAGTATCTCTGAAGTAAGACTGCCTGGATCTAGTCAATTTAATATCTGTGGGACTTTAGGCAAATTATTTATCTGTGTTTGCTTGTGTTTCTCTTCTTGGGCAAATGGGAAGATTAATAGTACCCATCCCTTAAGGTTATAGTAAAAAAACAAATGTAAAGTGCTTTGAATGGTTCCCAGAGTAGAACACTGTGCTCAAGAAATGTTAATTAACATTATTTTTTGTGTGTGTGTCATTTCATTCACCCAATGGTAGAGACTCTGTTTCTTCATTTGGCAAGCAAATGAAAAATACACCTGAGCAACTTCTGTGTGCTAGGCACATAGACTAGGTCTATGACCAAGGTATGGTCTTCTCTCTTAAAGCTTTCAGTCTAATATGGGAAACTCTGCAGGCCCACTAGACTGAAACAAGTTCTCTAAGGATATAATACAAGCCAGTTCACAGAGAGGAATCAAGACTAACCAACAAGAGTAACAAACAAGACTAACCAATAAAATCCTATAGTATCCCCAATCCAGGTTAGACTCCTGAGACATGATGTTGAGTGATCAGTTTGAAGTGTTTCTTTAGGGATCTTAATTGAAGTAGTTATGATGAAAAATACATGAACTTTGGGGCCAGACAAACCTGGGTCTGAATCCTGGTTCCATCAGTTATACTAAGTGACCTCAGCTAAGTTACATGAGCTCTCTGTTCCTCATCTATCAAATAGCTAGTAAAAATGAACTGCTGTGGAGACTAAATGAGATTATGGGTGTAAAACGATCCAGACCAGTGACTGACACTTTATATTGGGTTCTTCCTTTTTTCATTGCCAACCAGAAAATGAGCAGGTTTCCAAGACTTTGGAATCAAAAGAAAGCCAAATTATTCCTGACTACACTACCAAATCATAGGGGACAACATAGAACCCCAGAAAGAATCTCAGGTTCTTCTAGGGTCAGAACCAGATTTTAGTCCTCTCCTTTAGTGTCCCCTTCCAAAAGTGCCCCTATCAAGGCACAGCTAAGAGCTTTCTTCCCTAACCCTCCTTCATTCCTGGAATTTGAGTTAAAGAATCAATATAACTTAAAGGTGTCTTATAATTAGACCTGGAGAAGAACTGATTGTAAGAGTACATCAAGGAATTTCACAAAAGAGAGGGTCTAACCAGGCTGATGTAGAGCACACCAGAAAAGGTAACCGTCACTCCTTATGGTTGGTCACCTATGGCAGGTAGGCTCATCCTTGGGGAATATGAGTGCTGTATGCCATGCTCCCCATATTACAAAAGCAGATTCCATTCTGGGCATTTTTTTTCCTTAAGGGCTTTGTCCAAGCAACTCTTTTCCCTCTAGCCCAAGCCATATATACCATTTGTGAAAATGTCTCTGCTTTCTCTCATGAATTTTAACCTATTGTTAGTATAATCTGCCCTTGCAATTTAAATGAGGAGACCTTAAGATTTAATATGCCCTGTAAAAAGAAAGGTTGCAGAACCCAAGAAACAAGTGCCTCTGACAACTCTGAAGCAAAGGCACAGTAGTAGCTTGATAGTCTTACCTATTTTTTGCTCCCTCCAACTGCCCAATGGTCACTGAGAAGGCAGTCATAATTTATGCCTCCTCATCTGTTTCAGCACAGTTTTGTCCTATATGTTCTCGTGCCTGAGCAGGACTGCCTTAGGCCTGAGATGATGGGCACAATGTCCCACAAAACTACCTCACTACTCCATATTCTAAAGTGTCCTAGCAATCAGTTTGGTCTGTAACCCACTGCCTGGGGGCAGACTGGATGACGTTTGTGGCATCAAGCCCTTGCTGTAAACACCAAACCAGGTTCCTTAAAGAAAGCTGAACAGAAAGAAAAGCTTACCATTTCTATAGAAATTCAGAGGCACCAACTCACCCCAACACCCTGAGAAGCCACTTACCTCCCTGACTGGCTGGTCTTCCTGTTTCCTGTTGTTGATTTCCATTTATCCCCAGGAAATTCCTACAAAGCAAAATTCTGATAAGTTAGGGAGCTCTGAGCAGTCAGGTAGTTAGATGGCTTCAAAAGTGTGAAGAATTTAGGAACCTATACCCTGCCAGGACCCATATCTGGTTCCTTCTACTCTCTCACGCAGGCTAGAGAAATGTATATGGAGGCTGCCTTTTTGTCAGGAGGCCTATGAACTGCTGGGAGCATGCAGAGACTAAGAGAGCACTCAGGGACCTGGACAGTGTAGTCTAGAAACTCTGTTTTCCTCTGTTTCTCCACTCCCCTCCCAAACCACGTTAAAAACCAGTTTAGCACGTTTGCTGTTTCTTCTGGCTGTTGTAAAGGAGGTCTTTTTATTTGTTCTATCTGGTGGATCTGCACTTTCCTTTTGACTCTTCCAACATAGAAAGCATCTTCTTGGAAGCCCTGGTCCTTAAAGGGCCATTGAAGCCTAAAGCTCCTGCTGCTGTAACCATTTCCTAGAGTGAGGCAGAGGGAGATAATGCATTCGAGCACACTGCTGTACTGCTGTGGCCCTTCCTTCTCCCAGATTCAGTGGCAGGGTCTGAGATGGGCTTATCCCTGGGGAACCTGAGTGCTGTGTATCATGTTCCTCACATTACAGATGTAGATTCTTCACTGGGGGCACTTTTTTTCCATAAGGGCTTTGTCAAAGCAACTCTTTTCCCTCTTTATGCATGCCACTTGTAAAAGTGTCCCTACCTTCCTATTCTAACTCTAAACATAATGCAAATTTGCGTTTGACATTCTTCCCACTTTTGCATTCAGCACCCCTCTCTAGCAACTCAGAGGTTAGCCCAACAGGAGTGCACAGTTTTTCTAAGTCTCACTGATCTTTTAAATTCTCACTTTCTCCAATGCTATTATTGGACCCATTTAAAGTTTTATTATCTTTGTCCTAGTTAAATAAAAAAAATACTTTCTTTTGGGATTGAGACATTTAGTGTCAGTCATACTAGCTAAAATACTTAATAGCTGTGTTATTTGAGGGAAGTTGTGTCACCTTTCTGAACCTCAGATTCCCATCTGGCAAATAAGAACTTTGCTACGTAGCCTTGCTTGGGTCCCAGTAGTCAGGATAAAATGGGATGTGCATACAGAATGCCTAGCACAGTGCTCAGCACATAGGAGGCTCTGGATGTTAGTTGCCAGAGAAACGATGAAGTTTCTCAGCTTTTATACAATCAGAGCAGTCCCTGTCTGTACCTGTCATGTTAGAGCAGCTCTAACCACTTGTTAGATTTCAGACTCTGCCTTGGTGCCCTTGTGAGATGTCCCTGCCCTCATACTTGTTCAGCCACAGTGGGAGCCAGGATTTCCTGTCCATGCCCTGTCTGGCCCTATGGGAAGTGCTCAGTAAATAGCAGTGGCCAAACCAAACAAAGTTGTGTCCCAACTCCCAGCCTCCTTCACAGATTCCCAGTATCACATTACATTTTTTTCTTGAGCTTAGATTGCTGTAAATTGCCTGCACCCTTTGAACCAAACAGGCAGTTATGCCATGGCTCGTTGCAGATGGTGATTGACTGTAGTGGGCACTTGCTGCCCCAATAGAAGATATACTGCTAAAAGGCATCCTGCCACACTGGACAAAGCCTGGGCTTTGAAATCAGCTTATGGAGAGACAGTGTAGCATGATTAGGAGCTTGGGCCCTGAAGCTAAATTACATGGATTCAAATGCCACACTTGCTATGAGACCTCAAGAAAAATATAAACTTCTCTTTATATCATTTCCCCCAGCTATTTAATAGTATGATTGTTATAATAGAACTATTTCTTGATTGCTTTGAGAACTACATGAGTTGATATATGTGAAGTATGTAGAATAGTACTTGGTGCACAGTAGACACTCAATTGTTAAGTTATTGTTCAAATGCTGGCTTTGCCATTTGCTAGATGTGTGACCTCTCTGAGCCTCAGTTTTCTCAGCTGTAAAATGGGGATCCTATTATAACATATCATACAGTTGTTGAATGAAATAATGTGATAATAAATGGAAAATTAATTGCTATGAAGTATAAGGGATGTAAGTTTGTACTGATTTTAGTTCTCTTAACAGTGCTAAACAGGAGCCTGTTAGCTCTCTAACATCTTCCAGGGGCCAGAAGGAGAAGGAAATCAGCCTTACTTCACACAGCCCTAGTCATACGGGCTGGGGTACCTTAATCCATGCTATGAGATTTTCTCATGTCTGAGGGTGGGGTGTGTTCAGGTGGCAGGGATAATAAAAATGGGTGTATAGTGGCTCTTAGATGTCCATCCACATATCTAAAAGCCTAGTGCTTAAGCAGACCTGTTAAGCTAGTCTAATAGGCATTAGGAACTGAATATATCCCTTCCTCAGAGTGCAGAAGAAAACCTGAATTGCTGCTGCCAACTGATGCAAACTGCAAATTTCACCTCCTTCCTTTATGGAATTATTGGCCCTGGGCTGACATATCTACAGCCACCATCTCCTTAACCCCATATGCCCACCCTACTTCAGTCCCTTTTTTCGATGGTCCACTTGCGGTTCCTTCTTTGAGCAAACTTTCCCAAGCTAAGCCAATCTCTCCCCTTATTTTAAAAGATAATAACTCACACTTATAAGATGATTATGGTCTTGCAGTCACTGTTTTAAATGCCTCACCCATGTTCCATCATTTAATCCTCACAATCAACTCATGAAGTAGGTACTGTTATTACCTCCATTTTTAAGTTGGAAAGCATAAGAATTTGAACCTAGGCAGTCTGATTCCAGCATCAGTGCCCTTAAAAATTACTTTATATTTCCCCTATTTTTTTAGAAGTTTTTAAGATATTTTATTTATTTATTTTTAGAGAGGAAAAGGAAGGGAGAAAGGGGGGAAGTGAAACATCAGTGTGTGGTTGCCTCTCACACGCCCCATCCTGGGAACCTGGACTGCAACCCAGGCATGTGCCCTGACTGGGAATTGAATCAGTGATGCTTTGGTTCACAGCCTGGCACTCAATTCACTAAGCCATACCATCCAGGGCCTCTCCTCTTTCTTTTTAACATTTATTATGGATATTTTCAAGCATACAGAAGTGTTGAACAAATTTACAATCAACACACACATATCCACCACCTAGATTCTATGATTAATATTTTACCATATTTTTCTTATCACATATCTCTCTGTTCACTCCTCCATCCACCCACGAATCCATCCTAATTTCTCGATGCATTTCAAATTAAGTTACAAACAATGTTATCCCTATAAAAATTGAAAGCTTAAATGTGATGGACAAATTCCTTGAAAGACAAACTACCAAAGCTCATTCAAGAAGAAATAGATAACCTAAATGACCCTATATTTATTAAAGAAATTATATTTGTAGTTTAAAAAATCTTTCCACAAAGAAAACTCCAAGCCCAGTTGGCTTTGATGATAAATTCTATTTAACAGTTAAGGAAAAAATAATACCAATCCTATACAAAATCTTTCTGAATATGGAAGAGGAGGGAATACCTTCTAGCTCATTTGGTAAGGCCAGTACCTGGATATAAAAACCAGACAAAGATATTGCAAGATAACTACAGACTCAAATCCATGATAAACATAGACACAAAAATCTTTAACAAACTATGAACAAATTAAATCTAGTAACACATAAAAAGGATAAATGCATTGTGACCAAGTGGATGATACTAGGCTGGTTCTTGTTTCAAAAATCAACCAATGTAATTCATTATATCAGTAGACTAAAAAAGAAAAACTACATGATGATCTCAATAGATACAGAAAAAACATTTGAAAAAATCCAACATCCACTCCTGATAAAAGCTAGGAATATAAGGGAAGATCCTCAACTTCATAAAGGGCATCTATGAAAAAACTACAATTAACATATTTAATATGATATTATGCTAAGTGAGATAAGCCAGGAAAAGAAAGATAAATACCATATGATTTCACTTGTATCTGGAATCTAAAAAATAAAATAAACAAATAAAACAGTAACAAACTCATAGATATAGGGAACAAATTGATGGTTGCCAGAAGGGAGGGAGAAAAAAAATAGTGCAATATGGGGAACAAAGCAACAATATCCACTCTCACAACTTCTATTAAACCTTGTATTGGAAGTTCTAGATAGTGCATTAAAGCCACTCTCTCCCCTAGAAAAGGCATATAAAATGGAAATAAAAATTTGAAATTATTTTCACTTGCAGGTGACATGATTGTCTATGTAGAAAATCTTTAAAAATCTACCAATAAGTTACTAGAACCAATAAATGACTTTGAAAAGCTTATAGGATACATCAATACAACAAAATGGAATTGTATTTCTATACAATAGTAACAAAGAATTTTAATTGACATTAAAAAATACTGTTTAAAATACCATGAAAGTCATGAAATTTTAGGGCTAAGTATAACAAAATATGTGCAACATTTATATGCTGAAAACTATAAAATAAGTTAGAGCATCAATAGATTTCAAAAACTTCAGCATACATAGCATTAGATACAGTTCCATATTTGTTTATAATATTTAAGGCAAAATTTACTTCCAGTGAAATGCACAAATATTAATTGTGCCTTTGTTGAATTATGATGAATGTATACACCTGTGTAACTCAAACTCTTATCAAGGTACAAAATGTTATCATGATCCAACTAAGGTTTTTATGACCTTTCTAGTCAAACTCTGTGCCACCTCCCATAGGGAACCACTGTTTTGAATTAGTTTTCCATAGAATAATTGTTTTAGAACAGCCTAAGTGCCCATCAGAATGGGTTATAAAAACTATGGTACACAATGGAATACAATGCAGCAGAAAGAAATCTCCTGCCCTTTGTGATGGCATGGTTGGATTAGAAGAACATTATGCAAAGTAAAATAAGCCCGTTGGTGAAAGACAAAGACTATATGATCTCACTTATAAGAGGAATCTAATGAACAAAATAAACTAACAAGCAAAACAAGAAAGAGACATGGAAACATGGAACAGACTCGCAGCTGCTAGAGGAGAGGGCAAAGAGGATAATGGTGGAAAGAAGGGGGAGGAATTAGTCAAAGAACAGGTATGAAAGGTATGAATGACCCGTGGACATAGACAATAGTGTGGGGATTAACTGTGGGAGCAAGGGGTGGGATGGGCAGAGGAGGGCAAAGGGGGAAAATTGGCACAACTGAATAGTAAACAAGAATAATAAAAAAGAACTTTATATAAAATGAATAGTAGAGTATGTACTCTTTTGTATAAGGCATCTTTCACTCCTAAGTTTCAAAGAACATGAATCGAACAACTTTATATACAGAGTCATTCAGAAGTGTCTGTCTATGCAACAATAGTTCAACACAGAAACTAACTTCTGGTTTGAATGCACCAGCCAAAAGGTGGCACTAAGAGAGCCATGGAGAAGGAATCTGGCAGTGAGCTGATAAGGACCAATGGGGTCCTCCCAGAAGTACCCTGGGAGGTGGTGGTGGCTTATGTTAGGCTGGTAGGTCATAACCAAGTATAGCAACAGCCAGTCTAAACCTGGTTCTCTGACAGAGAGAGAGACTGGAGAAGAGGGGAAAGGATTCATTCTTTAGAAAATCAGACAAGTCAGATCTCTGAAAGCAAAGCTTGGGGGACCATTTGCAAATTTTGGAGCTCGATATAGTTTTAAAGCAGGAAACGGAAGGGAATACATGCTGTTTTGTATCAGGTACTAGGCCTGACACTCTATATACACAATCTTATTTGATCCTCACAATTGATTTATGAGACAGCCATTATTTTCCTCCACTTTAGTAACGAAGCAATTAGACTTTATTCAGTACTGCCCATTTTATGGAGTAAAAATTGTTTTTGTCCCTTTAAAAATCATATAACTACAAATTTTGGTGGTTGAATGACATAGGCAGTAAAATTTCAGGTTACCTCATGTAGCAATATTTTTGCCCATATATCTCCTAGGGCAAGAGATATGAAGGAAAAATAAATAAATGGGACTACATCAAATTTAAAAGGTTCTGCACGGCTAAAGAAACCATCATCAAAATGAAAAGGGAACTCACCATATGGGAGAATATATTTGCCAATAATACATCTGATAAGGGTTTAATTTCTAAAATATATAAAGAACTAATGGTACTCAACACCAAGAAGACTAACAACTCAATTAAAAATAGGCAAAGGAGGGCATACAGAGGGCCCAGAAACATTTCAAAAGATGCTCAATGTCATTACCCATCAGAGAGATGTAAATTAAAACCACAATGAGATATCACCTCATGCTGGTCAGAAAAGCCATCATTAATAAATCAACAAACAACAAGTACTAGAGAGGATGTAGAGAAAAGGCAATCCTAGTAGTGCACTACTGTTCAGAATGCAGACACTGACTAGTATAGTCACTGTAGAAAACAGCATGGAATTTCCTCAAAAAATTAAAAGCAGAACTGCCCTTTGAACTGGCAATTCCATTGCTGGGATTATACCCTAAGAACCCTGAAACACCAATTCAAAAGAACCTATGCACACCTATGTTTATAGCAGCACTATTTACAATATCCAAGTGCTGGAAACAGCCTGAGTGCCCATCAGTAGATGGGTGGATCAAAAAATTGTAGTACATTTACACAATGGAATACTACACAGCAGAAAAAAAATAAGGAATTCCTGCCTTTTGCGACTGTATGGATGAAATCGGACATTATTATGCTAAGTGAAATGAGTCAGTTGATGAAAGACAAATAATATATGATGTCACTTATAATAGGAATCTAATGAATAAAATAAACTATCAAGCCAAATAGAACCAGAGGCATAAATCATGGAACGGACTGACAGCTCTAAGAGGGGAGTGGGGAGGTGGGGAATGGTTGAAAGAACATGAAGAGATTAGTCAAAGAACATATATGCATGACCCATGGACATGGACAATGGTGTGGGGATTGACTGTGGGAGTAGGGAGATGGGCTGGGTGGAGGAGTGCAGAGGGGAAAAGTTGGGGCAACTGTAATAGCATAAATAATAAAATATTTAAATTAAAAAAATCACATTATTGAAAATTTTGCTGGTTGAATAACTTGCTTAAGGTCACTCAAATACCAATTATAGAGTCAGGCTATAAATCCTAGTTCTGTTCATTTTGTGAAGGAAAAGTTATTTTACTCTAACTCTAAAAATGAGGAAACTGCAATTTTGGTGGCTGAGTGTCCTGCACAAGGTAATAAGCTACCATATGGTAGACCAGGACTATATAGTTTTGAGAAATTATAATTGTTTTCAAATGATTCACCTTGCTTTCTCCTTAGAAAGAGAATAATAAAGCTCACCCATGCAAGAACCAAGTCCTCACCTGCACTGTCGGCTTCCTGGGTTTCCAAGCACTGCCAAGTGCCAAGCTGCTGTCCTCGAGAGTACTGTGCTGGGGATTATGATAGCAAGCTGAACACCGAATGCATTGGTGGTGGTGGCACCGACAGTTGTAGCAGTTTGGCATCATATTTCTCTTTCGCAAAGCAGGGCAGATTTCCCCAGAACAATAAATGCAAGGGTCATGTACTACAGCTCCCTGAACACTGCAAGAGTAAGAGCAGGTCCTGTGGTAATCAAAATCACCACAGTGCAGTGGCTTACAACACACAGATTGTTCTAGACCTTTGCTTGCAAAACATTCTGAGTAAGTAGGAGTTTCTGACTGAAGGGGTGAAATGGAATGATATGATTGGTCTGTGGCATGATATGGTTGGTCTGTGGAATGATATGATTGGTCCATAGGATGGTGCCTCAATTCCCTGTAGCTGGAGCTCATCGGCTGGAAGTTTTGGTCTACAGGTTTTGGTCTCTGGGTAAAAGTCTTGTTACTATGAGTGCTTAAACCTGGCAAATGAGAGGTTGATAAGGATTTGCTATTCTCTTCAAAAAACTTTCTTCTGTCTGCAAAGGGCAAGAGGATGGCTTCCTCCCCAGTTTGGCCAGTAGAAGCTTTCAATTCCTTGTTATCTCCTTGGTTGGAAGAGCTTTCCATGACTAGTGCCACATGCAGCTGCTGGTTATGCTCTGGAGACCATCTCCAATGACCTCCATGGACTCCATGGTGAACTTTTGTTTTCTCTGAGTCTGAAGAAGATGGATCAGATGCTTTCCACCAGGTGTTCAGGTGCATAGAGGACTGGCTAGGCCTCTGGCCAGGGCTTATTTGTCCCTCCAAGCCTGTTCTCGATTCATGGCTCTCAGGGGCTTTGCTGAGGCACTCTGAAGATCTAGCCCTAAGCAACATACTCTTGTTAAAGGTCTTGTCTCTGGGGCTCGGTGGTTTTTTATATGAAGGTAGAAGAGGTGAGTTAGAGGCAGGAAGTAGAAGACTTTCTAGGGGCTCCTCAGTCTCTTCCACTGGCTCCTTAGTGTCACACAGCTGTGATAAGGGACTCTTGCTTTTATGGAGCTGAGCCTTCCTCCTCTGAATTTCATTACGCAAGTTGGTAGCAAAACGCTCACTCTTCCGCCGGTTTTGGATTGAGCGGCCCCGGGTCCCTCCATTTCGCCTACCACCCATCTGGTCACACTCCTTGGGCTCCTTGTTCCCTACTTCAGTTGCCTCTGTGGTGCCAGCTACTTTAGTGGTTGAACAGTCCCTGGTTTGTTGAACAAGAGAGCCAGAAGGACAGGGCTGCTGGCTGGCCAATTCATTACCTGCTCTACTTATTCTGTTTGGGTCCTGGAAACCTCTTTCTGGAGGGCGTCCATCAGTTTCTTCATGGTGGGAGATGCTTGGGCTCTGGTACCCCGAACCCAAAGGCCTATTATCCACTTGCCTGGTCTTTCTCTCTTTGCTGGGCTGGTCCTGGTTTCCCCCTGCAGGAGGACATGGACTTTTCTTCCCTGTGTGGCTGCTATGCAAAAGGGACAGAGTCCACTCATGCCCATCCTTCCCAGTTGGGAGCTCCATCCCCTTGCTACCCCTGGTATCAAGGTGCATATGCTGCAAGTGGGATGCCAGCAACTGTTCAGGGGCACTATGGCGATGGCCTGTGGGTCCCATGAGGTGTGAAGGGCTGTCAAAAGAAGAAGTCTTAGCTAGCTCTGCTGAAATCTTGTTGAGCGGGCTGGAATCTATGCTGGAAACTTTGTCGTATGATTTTTGGAATCCAACAGCTTTGGCTGAGGCCTCTATCAGTAGGTGCTCATAGCCCTGCTGGTTGGATTCAGGAGGTTGGTTGAGCTCACAGTTCTGATGGCTCTGATTTGTCATTTGGTCTTGCCCACTGAGGCAGCAGAACCTGTTAGGATTCCTTGGGCACAGCTCGGTGTCTAAGCTTGGTTTCTCCTCCTGTTGTACAGAGTCCATAGGCTCAGAAGCCCTCCTCTGCTCTCCATTGTAGAGTTGGCCTCTGGAGGCATGAAGACTATCTCGCCTCACTGGAGGTTGTGGTGGACCCTTGGCAGCTTTGGCAGGTTCTGAGTGGTGGACCTCCTGTGGGAGGGATGACATTTGAGGGCTGGAAGTCAGATGGCCCCCGTTGGTGCGCTGGGTACCTCCTGAAGTCTCAGCCACATTAAGCCTGCCATTAGGGGCCTTACTTAATCCTGGGCCTTGCATGACACAGTCTGCAGATGCAGGATCCTCTGGCCTGAGGGAAAGGGCACAGTCAGAGGCATTTGAGCTTGCTGAGAAAGAGCTGTAAGCTGAGTCGCGTTGGTTGGGGTACATGTTCTGGTCAATGGGCAAGAGGTGACTCTCATAGGTGGCTTGGCCTGGTTGTTCCAGGCTCTCCATGCTGCCAATGGAGCTGCTTTTTTCAGTGCTGCAATGCCGGGAGAGTGGACACCACTGCACACACACGTCACTGCAAGACAGAGGGCATACTGATTACTTAGCCAAATTATCAGATCCCTCTCTTACTGTGGCCAGCCCTGCCATGGGAGAAGGCAGGACAACCCAGAGGTACCCATGCCACAAATGAAAGTGAGACAAAGCAAGAAAGGAAGTAAGGAAAACAAGGAAAGGGATGGATACTGGGATACTACAGTGATGTAGTAAAATGGGAATCTAAACAGCATATGGAAGGAGGATGGAGCAACATACTAAAGACTAAAAGTGTGAGGAGTTCATTGGGGATTATGTTCTGTTTGACATCAGTGAGTCTAAAATTTCTTTGAACCTGTCACTGTCCCTAGGAAGTCAGCATGGGGCTCTATGCCAGGAGAGGCAATCACAGACTATTACCATCAGGGAGGGGCCTAAAGGGCTGATTCCATTTCAGCCAGCTTATTTTGTAAATCATTGCTTTTGATATTTGAACATGCATCAGAATCACAAGAAGGGCTTGTCAAAACACAGGCCACTGGGCCTCATCACCAAAGTTTTAGGTTTGGGTGAATCCTGAGAATTTTTACTTCTAACAAGTTGCCAGGTGATACTGCTGCTATTGGTCCAGGGAGTACAATTTTGAGAACCACTGGTATAAAGCAAGTCCTGCAAAGGAAGAGATTTTGAGAGCGTGATTTTTCTCAAGATCATCTAGTTCTAGCTTGTGGCCCAGATAAAGCTGGAATTTAGGCATCCCCTGTTTTTGTTTTTTGTTTTTTGCTTGATAATAATAATACTGACAATTGACTGGTGATGTACAATATGCCAAGCACTGTAGGGTGCCTTATTTCAAACTTAGGGCAATAAATTATTATCTGTACTTTACAACTGAGAAAACTGAAGCTTCAAGAGTCAAGTAAACTAACCACAAAGCTGCTAAAGAGGGAGATCTGGAATTAGAACCCAGGCCTCTGTAAGTCCAATGTCTTAGCTTTTCTGCTACCTGTTAAGTGAGAATATAGTAATATCTGCATGAGAGGGTTGCTTTGTGAGTGAATTTATATAATAAAAGTTGCCTTGACTGGTGTCACTCAGTAGATTGATCACCAGCTTGTTCACCAGCCTGTGAACCAAAGGGTCATTGGTTCGATTCCCACTCAGGCCACATGCCTGGGTTGCAGGCCAGGTCCCCAGTTGGGGCCATGCGAGAAGCAACCATACACTGATGTTTCTCTCCTCTTTCTCCCTCCTTTCCCCTCTCTCTAAAAATAAATAAATAAAAGTAAAGCTCTTGTCATAGCCTGGGTACCTAGCAAAAGTTCAATATATGGTAGCTGCTCCTCTCTTGATTGCTATTTCCACTGCTATTTTTATCAGCATCCTCTACTACTAGTATTGATAATACAGTGGCACTTGCCCATGATGCTGTCCTCATCCCCCATGTTATGTAAAGCCAAACTGGGGAGACCAAGGAAGGGACGAAGACCAGACACGATCTTGAATTTTAAGTGTGATTTCTCACACACAAAGCGAAATTGGGCCAAGTCATGTCAGTAACTCCTGATGACTAAACCCTCATAGGTTGCAGGCTATACTCAGAAAAGCTACAGTTCAGAAAGCCACAGCTGAGCAGTGGCAGGAGCCTATGAAAGTCTCAGGTCAGTCTCCTCTAATTCTTGTTCCCTGTGTTGCCCCTCAGCCACTCTGCTCACTTGACCTCTGGGCTGGAATCCTTCAATTCTTTTTTTAAAAAAATATTTTATTTATTTATCTTTAGAGGGGGAGGGAAGGAGAGAGGGAGAGAAATATCATTGTATGGTTGCCTCTCGTGCGTCCCCTGCTGGGAACTGGCCTGCAACCCAGGCATGTGCCCTGACTGGGAATCAAACCATGGTTGTTTGGTTGGCAGGCCTGCGCTCAATCCACTGAGCTACGCCAGCCAGGGCCATCAATTCTTTTTTGACAAGGGGATGTGCTGCCCATCCTACCACCCTTCCTGCTGAAAGCAGGCACGCCCTCACTCCAATAGGACCCAGGCTCAAAATGTGTTTCTGTGTATTCCTCCAGAACAAAATGATCTCTGCCTCTGCCCTGAGCCCATGGTTTCCAATGCCAAAAATAGTCACCAAGTGGGGGCAAACTCAACTTTAGCTTCCCTGAGCCTCCTCAACAGAAATCCCTCCTTGGAGGGATGATCTTGTTATGAAAGGGAAAAGAGAGCTGACACCAACAGCTTTGCTGGTTCTGAGCTTGCTGAAATAGTTGTCTGCCTCTTCTTCTGGGCAGTTATTTCAACAACAGACTATAGCACACTCTCTGCATTGAGAGATCCTCACTGCAGATAGATCCTGTTATTCAGGGAGGTCTCATTCTGAGCATTTTGGTTCTGTGACAGAGCTGATGAACACTGGATGAGATTGTTAGTGAGTCACTGTAGACAGGGAAGGAGCCCCAGGGCCTTCTTTCATTAAGATATCAAGGAGATGAGGAAGAAATACGGAAAGAGTCTGCAAAAGAACAGCCAGTGAAACGGTATGAAAAGCAGGGAAATGTGGTACCTTTTAAGCCAAATGAGTTAAATACTTCAAGGAACATTTTCCAGAAGGAATAGGACTGACCCAAAGTCACAGAGTTAGCAGCAGACTGGGACTAGAATACAGACTAAACTCCCACTCCATTTTCTACTACAGCACTCTGGGCTCTATAACATCTCATTGGTTCTATAGCAAAAGAGAAGGAGTGGCCACATCGTCTACCCTCCAGACCACCTTGAGAGGAGAATTGTAAACTCACCTTGTGTTGCAGCCGGAATGCCAAGACAAGCTGAAGGCTTCAGAAGGGACATGCATGGTGGTAGCTGCTTCAGGGCATCCCTCTAGCAGCTTGGCCACATGCCATGAGTGCGGCCTACTGACAGAGGCGTTTCTCCTACAGCAAGAAAGAGACAGGAAGTCAGCTTAGGGAACCAGAGCTGAAATCACTTCCCAGGCAGCTTCTTCCCCCACCCCCTCTTTCCCTAAAATGAAGTAGAATATCTGGCAAGGAGCTGGTGTGGGGATCTTAGTGGCCCTCCTCAGCTCCCAGTACTCAAATCTCCTTCATCCCAAGGGTAATTCCTGGAGAAAGAAAATGTTCACTTCACACAGGCATTGTGTTCATAGGTGTATCCTAAGCACATATAGGAATGCCAGACACACAGTAGATGCTTAATAAATATTTGTAGAATAAATTAGTATTACTGACCAATGAACAGTGACCCTACCCTAAGTTATCTTGGAGGAAAAAATCAATCTGGCCAATTTTCCCATTTTTCTCTAAGAAAGGAATAGGGCAGTGATTGAGAAGTTTGAATAAGTCAACACTGGGCTTCAAATCCTCTAATCTTGGCTTATTCATTTGATAAGCATTTGTGTATGTTTGTTGTACACCATCTTTGTATAGCTCTGGTGATACAGAGATGAATCGAACATAGTCTTTGCCCTTGAGAGTTATAGATCAATGAGGACAGAGTTATTCAAATACAGAGTGGTAAAGACCTTGAGAGAGTGAAAGATAAGAGGTGAGACACCTGAGTATGTAGGAAAAAAGGTGGCAAGGAGCCCCAACTCCTGCCAGGCAAAATAGAACAGTGTGGTGAATAGTGTATACTAGCTGACAGAGGAGACTGCGGCTCAGCAGGGTAGGGGTGAATAAAGGGGAACAGGTCTAAGACCAAGGCCCTGGATACAACCACAGGGTCTGTCTGGTACTGAAAGCTGAAGCAACAACTCTTGAACTGACTGGCTTATATAGGACCAATCCCTGTTTTCTGGTATATTTCACATGAATATATGCCACCCTTGGATTTGGGTAAGAATAGTATGAAGAAGAGCACACACAGGGCAGGGCATGGGTATTGCCACAAGATAAAGAAGAGTGATGAGAGAGGGACAAAAGGAGGAGGGTGAGAATAAGGAGAGTAGGGGGAAGGAGAGGGAGAAGGTGAGAGGGAGAGAAAGAACAAAGGAAGGAAGGAGGGAGGGAGGGAGACAGAGAGAGGGGGAGAGAAGAAAGAAGAAGAGAGAGAAAGAAAGAGAAAAGAGAAAGGAAAATGAAAGAAAGGAAAGGAAAGGAAAGGAAAGGAAAGGAAAGGAAAGGAAAGGAAAGGAAAGGAAAGGAAAGGAAAGGAAAGGAAAGGAAAGGAAGGAAGGAAGGAAGGAAGGAAGGAAGGAAGGAAGGAAGGAAGGAAGGAAAAGAAAAAGAAAGGAAGGAAGGAAGGAAGGAAGGAAGGAAGGAAAGAAAGAAAGAAAGAAAGAAAGAAAGAAAGAAAGAAAGAAAGAAAGAAAGAAAGAAAGAAAGAAAGAAAGAAAGAAAGAAAGAAAGAAAGAAAGAAAGAAAGGTGTTAGAAGGGCAGGTCAATGGTAAGATAAGAAGGAAAGATGATGCAGAGAAAAACAAATGAGAGAGGGAGAAAACTCTGAGAATGATTATAGATAAATACATAGTAGAAAGAATTGAATGATAGAGGGAGATGAATGACAGAGTAAGAGAAACAGATGATAAATAAGTAGATGACAGAGGTAAATGAATGATAGCTTATTTACTAATTTATACAGTCATTTACTGTGGCAGACTCCACGCTGGATACTGAGGGTGCAGAATTGACTAACATAAGGGCCCCTGTTTTCAAGAAGCTAGTTATATAGTGGGGTAATTCAGCAGAAACAGAAAATCCCTGTAGTGCAGGGCTCTAGAGGGTTAAGGCCTAAAAAAGTAGTCCTGATGAGAATGGCCTTGCTGGGGAAAAGATGGGTTGACTTGTAATGGGCCAGACACAGACAAGAAGGTATAAGAGAAAGGGTAGGGGAAGCTGCTTGCCAAAGGTCTAGAACCAGAATAAATAGGTCAGTAACAGTGACTCAGATTTATTGGGGAGGAAAGCCAGGTGAGGCCCCCACTTCTAACCACATTGTTCTATTATGGATTTCAGAATGCACAGCAGGGAGGCTGAAGACCTAAGAAGACCTTGGGGGGAGGGTGCCTGCTCCAGAATCTCATATACAAAACCCTGATGCTAGAAGTCTCTCCAGCTGCTGTACTCAGTGGATATCTATTAACAACTATTTATAAGGTATCTCACCAGAAATATGATGTGCTACTGTGGACTTTGAACCAACTTATGTATGATACCTCTGGGCACTAAGCATACAGTGGAAAACAAGGGACTTCTCTTATTTTGGGCACTTCCTCCACATCCAGGATTCCTCAAGTTCTTCTAAGTCCAGGGTTTAAAATGTAAGCAGTCAGCTTTACTATCACCTTCTCCCCAACAGTCAAATTACTCACTGAGTTCTTCAGAATCATCTTTTATTACATGTCTCTGGTTCTGCCTGTCTTTCTCTCTCCATTCTCACTAAGACTGTTCCACATAATCACAATTTCCTCCACATAACGCAGAACCCACCACCAACACCTCCTGTTCTAGTCCAGGCCCTTAAAACATTCTATATTCAAACTAGTATGTCAATCTGCCAGCCAGTCTCCCCTTGTTCTACCTCCAGACACTAGTTTTAGATCATATCATGTCAAATACCAACTGAATTGTGGCCCTCTCCTATTCAAGAATCTTCACTGGCTCCCAATTTCTTACTCTGTCCTATAGGAAATGTAGATTGGATCAGACTTTCAAAAGCCTTGATAAGCTATCTTTACCCATCCATCCCAATCCTATGTCTCTGCTCCAATCACACTCTTCAACCAGCTTTGTGCCTTTGCTGTTGGTTTTCTAGTAGAATCTAGCACAGGCTCTGGAGCTGGACCACCTTGTTTTGAATCCTAGATTTAACACTTATTAGTTTTGTTGCTTTAGTTAGGCGACTTCACTTCTTAGAACTTGAGCTGCCACAGTAGTAAAATGGGGATAATAGTATTTAATTAATGGGGTTTGTAAAAAGCAAATGAGACAATGCATTCCAACTGCTTAGAATAGGGTCTGGTAAGCCCTTACCCAATTTTAGTTATTACTATGACTATTTCCTTTGTCTGAAATTTACCCCATTCCATTTTGTTAATCTAAATTCTACCTGTTCTTTGAGGTACTGCTCAAGTACCATTTCCTTCAGGGTGTTTGCCCTTAGTAATCTAATCCTCACAGTTTGGCCCATAATAATAGGGGTTTTATATTGCTCATCATTATTTCATGCATGTTAGTCTCATCCTACCAACTATACTGAGCCAGCAGACAATGAGACAACAAGTGAGACAGATCTAGGTTCATTTCTTAACTCTACCACTTTAGATATGTGATTTTTTGCAAGTCACTTAGCCCATTGACCTTCAGCTTTCTTATCTGAAAAAGAGAACAATAATCCTTACCTGGCTAGGTTATCATGGGGGTTAGAGATAATATTCTCAAAGCATCTGTGACACAGCCTGATACTTGGCAAGTTGTCAATAAATAGGTACTCTAATAAAGGTTATCAGCTCAGACTTGTTCTTCATGGTTTAAGAGTACTCCCACCCAGATTTGTCCATCCACTGTCAAAGTTCTGCTGTATCACTTCCTTGCCACACTTTGAAAAGAAGCTTACAAAGGCCCCTACTCTCTCTAGGGTTACTTCAGGAATAGAAAAAAATCCCAGAGAAAATGTAAGCAAGTCATTGAGGGCTTTGGGAACACTGGGGGAAAAACTACAAGTTAGGGGGAAGAAATCCCAGTAGAGGAACTGCAGCCAGTGCTGGAGCCTCCTAGCCTTCCTTAGTTTGGGAAAAAAGAGGAAACTATATATAGAATCTAATAGTTGGTCTATAATTATTCTTGATGAGCTCTAGACTTAGTCCACACTTACATTCCAATCCTAGCTATGTGACTTTGTATAAATCACTTCTCTGAGTTGTAGATTCTTTACCTGCAAAATGGGGGAGATAACTATCTCTTATTCAGGAATTACAGTCTGGATTAAGTCCCACGTGGGAAATCACTCAGTATAGTGCCTGAAATACTATAAACTTAAAAAGTAACAACAGGGACCACTTAGTAAATAATTAAGATGTGCTAGGCACTAAGTACTTTGCATGTATTAGCTAATTCAATCCTCACTCCAACCTTATCAATAAGAACTATTCCTCTCTTTATGGATTAGAAAATGGAGACAGAGAGAGCTGAATTACTTTGCTAAGGGTATATATACAGCTAGTAACCAGAAGCTGGAAATGAGGCTCAGTTACTCCAGCCCTTTCTAGAATATCACACATCTGCTCTTCCCCAAAGAGCTATCTGTCTCAAAAGTTTATATGCTTGAGGCCTCTCCCTTAAGAAGGGATTCCCTTAAGAAGCAGTCAGTAAAGGAAATCAGTAGTCCTTAAGCTTAAACCATCCCTTCTCTTAGGCAGTGGGGAAGTAGGATGAGGAGAAATGAGCAGAGAGGTAAGAAAATGGGAACCACTAGCCAGGCATTTCCAGGCTATTCTATTCCTTAGAAGAAACTATTCCTTACTTCTAAGGACATATCAGAACTAACATTAAACACACACCCTATCATTTATTACCCCCAAACTCCTTTCTTGGGAGGCAAAAAGTAAAGGATATTAAAGAAAGAAAGCAGAAGTGGGGAGAGGGGTAGCAACCATGGCAACCATGGCTACTAGTTGTACCTACCAGGAAAGTTGCCCAGGGTTGGGAGATGGTTTAGGAGCAGCCAACTCAGATGCTCATCAACAACCCCTCCAGCCAGACCCCAGTGCTTCTTTTTGCAAGTTGGATCATCCCTTAGCTGAGAGCCATCTGCCTTCCTGTTAAAACCTTCTGAGATGAGGGGCCATCAGCCCAAGTTTCTGAGTGTGATCCAAGGTGCCCAGCCACAGTCAGGTTCTAGTTCCAAGAACAGAAAGGAGTGGAATTGAAGGCAAGGATGTGGCCACAGTCTTAGTGAATGAAAGACAGTGTTAAC